ATGATTATTATGGAAACATTACCATAATGTACAGAATTATTAAGAACTTTCAAATACTTAAGCACATAGAGAAGTACATTAATAGCCAGTAACAATATTAAGAGAGTACATTAGCGTTACAAGTTCTAAAGAAGAATATCCTCTCTTCTCTGAGCCAACAAATGTATGTAAATAGATGGTCTTTGGAAAATAAAGAAGATAGGGGCACCTGGGTGGCTCATCAGACTCTTGGTTTCAGCTCAGGTCATGATCTCGGGGTTATGAGATCAAGCCCTGCATAGGGCTCCTCATTCAGTGGAGAGAGTCTGCTTAACATTCCCTCTCTGCCTCTTCCTTTTCCCTCCCCCTACATGCACTCTCTCTTCCTCTCTCTCTCTAAAATAAAGAAATACATCTTAAAGGTGCACGTTTTTTTGAATTAGTATTTTTGATTCTTCATGTAAGTACCAAGTAGTGAAACTACTGGATCATATGGTATTTCTATTTTACATTTTTTTGAAGATTTTATTTATTTATCTGACAGAGATCACAAGTAGGCAGAGAGGCAGGAAGAGAGAGGAAGGGAAGCAGGCTCCCTGCCGAGCAGAGAGCCAGATGCGGGGCTCAATCCCAGAACCCTGGGATCATGACCTGAGCCAAAGGCAGAGGCTTTAACCCACTGAGCCACCCAGGAGCCCCTCTATTTTACATTTTTAAAGCATTTCCATAGTGGCTGCAAGAAATTTACCTTCCCACCAATAATGCATAAAGGCTCATTTTTCTCCACATCCTCACTGACACTTGTTATTTCTTACTTTTTTTCATACTAGCCAATCTCACTGATGTAAAGTGATATCTCATTGTGGTTTTGATTTGCATTTCCCTTGTGATTAGTGACACTGAGCATCTTTTCATCTGTCTGTTGGCCATCTGTATGTCTTCTTCAGAAAAATGTCTATTCATGGTTTTATTTTAAATCAGATCATTTGTTTTTTTGGTGTTAGGTTGTAGGAGTTCTTTTTATATTTGGAAATTAACTCTTTATCGACTGTATCATTTGCAAATACCTTTTCCCATTCAGTAGGTTGCCTTTTTATTTTTTGGTGGTTTCCTCTGTTATGCAAAAGTTTTTAATTTGGTATAGTCCCAGTTGTTTATGTTTTCTTTTATTTCCCCCACCTGGGGAGACATCTAGAAAAATAATGCTAAGGCTGATTTTCAAGAGTATACAATCTATGTTTTCTTTTTGGTGTTTCATGATTTCAGGTCTGACATTTAGATAGTTAATCCATTTCAAGTTTACTTTGGTATGTGGTGTAAGAAAGTGGTCCAGTTTCAATATTTTGCATGTAGTTGTCCAATTTTTCCAGCACCATTTATTAAAGAGACTGTTTTATTCTTGTTACCTTAGTTGTAAACTAATTGACCGTATAGGTGTGAGTTTATCTCTGGGCTATTTTGTTCTATTGATCTATGTGTATATTTTTGTGACAGTTCCATACTAGATTACTACAGCTTTGTTATATAGTTAGAAATCTTGAATTGTAATATCTCTTTGTTCTTCTTTCAGCTAGTTGGGGTCTTTTGTGGTTCCATACAAATTTTAGGATTCTTTGTTCTAGCTCTGTGAAAAATGCTATTGGTATTTGATAGGGATTACACTGAATTTCTATATTGCTTTGGGTAGTATGGACATTTGATAATATTAGTTCTTCCAATTCATGAGCATGGTATATTTTTCCATTTATTTGTGTTGTCTTCCATTTCTTTCATCAATATCTCAGAATTTTCAAAGTATAGGTATTTAACTTCCTTAGTTAAATTTATCCTTGGTATTTTATTCTTTTTGATGAGTTGTTAATAGGATAATTATAATTTTTCTTTCTGCTAATTCATGCATGGTATTTTTTAAAATGATTTTATTATTTACTTGCCAGAGAGCGAGCAAGAGCAAGAGCAAGCTAAGAGAGAGCATGCACAAGCAGGGGGGTTGGCAGATGGAGGGAGAAGCAGACTCCCTGCTGAGCAGAGAGCCTGATGGGACACTCGATCCCAGGATCCTGGGATCATGACCTGAGCTGAAGGCAGATGCTTAACTGACTGTGCCACCCTGGCGTCCTGTGTGGTATGATGGTTTTTTTTTTTTTAAGATTTTATTTATCCATTTGACAGACAGAGATCACAAGTAGGCAGAGAGGCAGGCAGAGAGAGAGAGAGAGGAGGAAGCAGGCTCCCCGCTGAGCAGAGAGCCCGATGTGGGACTCGATCCCAGGACCCTGAGATCATGACCTGAGCCAAGGCAGAGGCTTAACCCACTGAGACACCCAGGCGCCCCTGTGGTATGATTTTTTATCTTAACTTTCTATCATGTTGTATACTATGTTAAAGGTGTATTTCTTGTAAAACTTATATATTTCATTTTTTTGTGTCTGACAACTTTTACCTTTGGAGGGTTTACTACATTTACAAAATTTACTATGGTTGTTAATATATTTGTATTTATTTCTACTAACTTAGTATGTGTTTCCTACTTGTACTTATTTTTTACATTATTGTCTACTCCCTTTTACCTTTTATTGGTTAAGTTTTTTAGTTGCCTTTTTTTTCCTCATTCTATTTGCCCCCTTCAGGTTTTTTTTTTTTTTTGAAAGTTAGAAGCATTATGTACATTAAACAGTTAAGCTAAATTTAACATACATATTCAACAAATTCAAAGTTAATATCTTAGCATTACGAAAAGCTTAGATCTCCCTTGTTTTTGCTATCACAGCCCTTCCACCATAGATATTTTCTCCTAGTCTTAGAATTTTATACAGATTTTGCCCTCAAAGTAGACATTAGTATATTTTTTATTGAATTAATGTTTGTTGACCTGTATTTGCATATTTGTCAATATCCTTCCTTTGTTTCACATTTTTTCTTGAATCTCAGATCTTACCACTGGGGTCATTTTCTTTCTGCTGACATATGTTCTTTAGGATATCTTTTCTCCACTGAGGTTTACTGAGAGACTTAAGATGTAATGCCCTAAGCATCCATGGTCTGTAATGAATTAGCTTTCTTGGTATGCTTCTATAAATTACAATAAGGAACTAATCACTGAAAATATTTCCCGTAAGGTGGAATGGAACCCCAGTAAAGAAAGGCTGCCTCAGAATTCCCTTTAGCACATGGAGCCATCAAAAGAAATGAAATCTTGCCATTTGCGACGACGTGGATGGAACTAGAGGGTATCATGCTTAGCAAAATAAGTCAATCAGAGAAAGACAACTATCATATGATCTCCCTGATATGAGGGAGAGGAGATGCAATATGGGGGGTTAAGGGGGTAGGAGAAGAGTAAATGAAGCAAGATGGGATAGGGAGGGAGATAAACCATAAGTGACTCTTAATCTCACAAAACAAACTGAGGGTTGCTGGGGGGAGGGGGGTTGGGAGAGGGGGGGTGGGGTTATGGACATTGGGGAGGGTATGTGCTATGGTGAGTGCTATGAAGTGTGTAAACCTGGCGATTCACAGACCTGTACCCCTGGGGAAAAAAAATATATGTTTATAAAAAATAAAATTAAAAAAAAAACTATATAGCAATGGATCTTTTGATGATATAAAATCTTTTGGCCCTTGTTTGTCTGTAAGGTCTGTATTTTGTTTTCTTTTGCTTTGTTTCTCTTGAAGGACCATGTTGCTAGGTAAAGAGTTTTAAGCTGTGAGCCCTTTTCTCTAAGCACACTGAAAACACTATATCTTCTGGATAGTACTGTTGCATTCATATCCACATTCATAAAAAATGACATAGGTATGGAGCTGAGGTATAATAATAGAAGAAGAGGTATAAATCAGAGATACATGTATTCAAACATCTCTTGAACCTTGGTTTCTCCATCTACAAAGTGGAAAAGCTTCATGGTTGCTAAGATTAAAAATAACATATACATTACCTGAAATATAATACATACATATGATTTTCAGGATTATTATTTGTTTTTTCCCTTGGTCTATAGATTAACCTTAGATTTTATGGGTTTGAGTCTACAGCCTCAGAGAATAAAGTTTTATGTAGAAATTTTGTGGGTGCATGATAAAATTCTCCTTCAGTGAGCCAGACATTCAGACTAGTGGGAGAAAAGATCATCTGACTCCTTAGTTCTCATCCCACCCGGGAAGGTTCCTTCTTCCCTTTCGACACCAGATTATTTGCTAAATTTGTTGAAGCTCTAAATTTGTTGAAGCACCATATCTAGGTGCCTAGGTAATAAGATTTTGTTGTAGTGCAATGGTTCAAATTTAGGTCAAGTGCTATAATTTGATTATAAAAATGTGATTCATTTCCAAAGGTGTCATTTGAGGAGATTCATTTGACTAATATTTGTCCACTATCAGTAAGAAACTTGCCTATATCCAGATAGCTGAGAAAAATAAGACACAGAATGCTCCATGGCAGGCTTTGCTGTCATACCTGTCAGAATCAAGCAACCAAATTGCTATACCTTCTCCGAGGTCACCTTGGAGACACACAGGCTGTAGGAAAATGCCTGAAAACATTGTTCATGGCACCTTGTATTCCCCCCCTCCTACAACACACATACACACACACACTCTCTCTCTTTCACACACACACATCAGGAATTTGCCATTCAGCATATACAGTATTTCTTTGGCATAGAGAGAACACTAATCCTTACTCTCTCTTAAGCCAGAGACTCTTTTCTTCCTTCCAAATGAGTCAGAAATAAAATCTAGTATTATTTTATTCATATCTTCCTAAAGGCACATTTGATTAGAGAATAAGAATATGCTAAGGATTAGGCATTTAACTAGGTAAATCAGTCATTAAAGATTTTGAAGACTTTTTAAAGCCTAAAAATTGGCATCACATGGATATACTATAATATTCATAACAATTTCCTCTTTTATTTTTTAGCTTATTTTTACATTTTTGCTATTGTCAGCAACACTGATATTCTCGACATAAATCTTCCTACTTAAAAAAAAAAATGCTTGTAGGTGACCTGTAACAATCCTAGAAATGTATTATAACAGTCTTACAGGATGGGTTCATTTGTAGTTCGGATGTATGACCCACTCTTCCTTTTCTCAAACAGGATGATCTAGGGAGAAAAGAAAGGCTAACAGTAAGAAAGGGTAAGCCTATTCAGTACAGAATGAGAAAGACACTGAACTGTATTCTGGGCATGAAGGCAGATCTCAACATTCATGAAACATAAAAGCAGGGGTAGGGGTGACTCACCTCATTGTCTTCTGGATGAAGCCAAACACCAGGAAGGTAAAGTGTTTTCTGAGGTCCAATAATTGAATATCGCCCAAGGTTACGTCCATTGATGAATGCAAATCCAGAATTCCAGGTCTGGAAGGAATAGAGTCTTGAGACATAGGAACAGATTCACACTGGCAAGGTAAAACCTAAGGCACCTTTGGGAGTGAGAGCAAGACTCAATGCTTTGTGGCGATGGAAGTGGCAGTGAGTTTAGAATGGTATGTTCGAGAAACTCTACTGAGATGTAGCTGATCTAGGGGTGACAGAGAAAAAACATGAATCAAACCTTTAATGCTAATGCTACTATTGTTCCTGACCCATGATATATAGTGGTATGGTTTTTTTAAAAAAGGAGTTGTTCTGTTTCCAGAGATAAGTATTAGATAATAAAGATGAATGCTAAAGCTAAGAAGTTATAAAAGTTATACATTTTTAAAAACCTGCTCACAATACCATGATGAGTGACAGGACCAAGATCTCGGCAAAGAAAACTGAGAGACAAGAAGACACTGAGACAGTTTTTCCAATAGCAGCATCTGCTTATTCAGGAAGAGGTGGCTGAGAAGCTTAGCAGAAACGTCTATAGCCTCACAAGTTTAGGGAACAAAAACTGGATACCAAGGAACCTTATTAAATAATTTACACTCTGGGTCATGATCCTGAGCGCCTGCCTAAACCCAAGGAGAAGAGTGAACTAGAAATAGTCTGGCCATTGTATGAAAGCCTTGATTCAAATCATTTCTGTCCTCATAATTGTACTAAGGTAATTACTAATGCACTTAATCAACTCCAGAGGTGGATGTAAATTCCTGATAGCATCTTAGGCTTTAAGTTATTTCTAGCAGTTTTCATATGTAATTTCTGGAGCTCAAAAAAATCAAGCAGATGGAGTTAGGGAAGACAATATAATAAAAAATACTACACGGAACAATAGACAATAAAAATAGATGCACAGGTGATGCAGATAATGGATTTATAAGTACCAGGCTTTAAAAGACTTATTAAATTAGTTTGCTCATAGGGATGAAAGATAAAAGCTAGAATTTTGACAGAGAAGTGGAAACTATTAAAAAAAGTCTAAAGTTATAGAATGAAAATTCTAAAATTAAAAAATGTAATAATCAGAATTAAGAATTTAACAGATATTTTGAATAGCAGATTCGATAAAGCTAAATAGAGAATATAGCTAAATATAGACTCAGTAAACTGAATAATAGGAAAGAAAGTTTCCAAAATTAAGCTTAAGTAAAGAAGAGTGAGAAACACACAAGACATGAAGAAACAAAAGGAGATATAACAAAATGGTTCCAACCTATAAAACTGGAGGCTCTGAAATGCTCCAGGTAAAAACAAAGATTGCTAGACATTAAATAAAGCAGTTATATGATACTCATAAGAAAACCATTTAAAATATAAAGGAATTATAAAAATAAAAGAATAACAGAAAAAGATAAAACAGATAAACCTTAAGCAAAAAGAAGTTACTACAGCTTCATTAATATCAGAAAAAAAATTTTAAAGATTTTATTTATTTGACAGAGAGACAGCGAGAAAGGGAACACAAGCAGGGGGAGTAGAAGAGGGAGAAGCAGGCCTCCTGCTGAGCAAGGAAGCCTAAGGGCTCTAATCCCAGGACACTGGGATCATGACCTGAGCTGAAGACAGCTGCTTAATGACTGAACCACCCAGGCACCACTAATATCAGAAAAATTTGACATTTAGGCAAGAAGCACTACTAGAGATAAAAAGGAACAGCTCTCTATAATAAAATTCTTAATCTAAGTGAGAATGATATATATATAAAAGCTAAAACTATAGATTCAGAATATCTAAGCAAAATTGATGAAATAACAGGTGAAATAAAATTCATAACCATAATGGAAAATTTTCAAACAATGTTTCAATAGCTAATAGATAAAGCAAACAAGAATCAATAAAGACATAAAACATTTAAAATAAGGTAATTAACAAAGTTGAACTAATTGACATATATAGAACATTGATCTAATCCATGCAGAATATACCTATTCTTTCAAGTATACACAATAATCTTTATAACTTTGACCCTATATTGGACTAAACAAGTGTTGTATTTTAAAATTCTCAGACCACAGTACAGTTAAACAAGAAATTGATAATAAAAAATTACTATAAAGTATCCAAATATTTGGAAATTAAGAAACATGTACACTTCTTTTTTAAAAGATTTTATTTATTTATTTGATGGAAAGAGATATCACAAGTAGGCAGAGAGGCAGGCAGAGAAAGAGGGGGAAGCAGGCTCCTTGCTGAGTGGAGAGCCCGATGCCGGGCTTGATCCTAGGACCCTGAGATCTGGACCTGAGCCGATGACAGAGTCTTAACCCACTGAGCCACCCAGGTGCCCAAGAAACATGTACACTTCTCAATAACGCAGAGACCAAAGCAAAAATCATGAGGAAAGTTAAAACATATTTGATTTGAGTGGTGATGAAAATAAAACATATAAAAACTTATGGAGTACATATCCAGAATAGGCAATTCCATCGACACAGGGAGAAAATTATTGTTTGTCAGGGGTTAAGGGGAGGGGAAGAAAGTGCTTAGTGAGTACAAGGTTTCCTGTTAGAGTTATAAAACTGTTTGGAACTAGATAGAAGGAAGAGTTGCATTCATTGTAAATGTACCAAATGCCTCTGGATTGTTCACTTTAAAATGATTAATTTTATGTTAATGTAAATTTCACCTCAATAAATGTTTTATACTTATGGGATACAACTGAATTCATACTTAAATGAAAAATCGCCTAAAAGAATAAAGACTAAAAGTCAGTTATCTAAGCACCCACCTCAAGAAATTATAAAAAGAAAGAAGATAATTCCTAAGATAAAAAGTAGAATGAACAAAACACTTTACACCTTCAGAATGGCTAGTATCAAATAAGTAAATCAATAAATAAGATATAGCAAGTGTTAGCAAGAATGTGGAGAAAATGGAACCCTTATGCATTGTTGGTGGGAATACAAACTGGCACAGCTACTGTGGAAAACAATATGGAGGTTCCTCAAAAAATTTAAAATAGGATCACCATATGATCCAATAATTCTAATATGGGATATTTAACTAAAGAAAACAGAAACATTAATTCAAAAAGATATATGTACCTCTATGTTTATTATGGCATTATTTACATTAGCAAATATGGAAGCCATCCAAGTGTCTATAGAAAGATGAATGGATAAAGAATATGTGTGTATGTGTGTGTGTGTGTGTGTGTGTGTGGACAATAGAATATTACTCAGCCACAAAGAAAAAAGAACAAAATCTTGCCATTTGCAACAATATGGATGGACCTGGAAGGTATAATGCTATGTGAAATAAGTCAGACAGAGAAAGACAAATAACCATATAATTTCACTCATACATGGAATTTAAGAAACAAATGAAAAAAGAGACAAGTTAATAAACAGACTCATATACAGAGAACAAACCAGTGATTGCCAGAGGGGAGATGGGTGGGGGAATGGATGAAATAGATAAAGGAGATTATGAGTAGTCTTATCTTGATCAGCACCAAGAAATGAATACAATTGCTGAATCACTATATTGTACACCAGAAACTAATGTAACACTGGATATTAATTATACTTGAATTAAAAACTTTAAAATGCAAAACAATAGGACTAGGTAATAAGGGAAATTATTAGTATTTAAAAGTTGTGGGGCATCTGGGTGGCTCAGTCAGTTAGCCTTTGGCTCAGGTCATGATCTCTGGGTCCTGGGATTGAGCCCTGTGTTGGGCTCCCGGATCAGTAGAGTCTGCTTCTTTTTCTCCTCTGCCCCTCCACCCCACTCGTGCTTTATCTCTCTCTCAAATAAATAAATAAAATCTTTTTTTAAAATGTTGAACAATTAACATAACATGTATTAGAAACATACTAAAATGTTTAATATGTTTTTATTTTAAAATAATTTTAGACCTATAAAAAATTTGCAAAGATAATGCGGGAGTTCACAAAAGAACAAAATAATAATAAAGAAAATGGCAGAAATGAAACAGAAAAGAACTATACAATATAGTAAAAGTCACAGCCAACCACTGATTCTTTGAAAGATTAACAATTTGGTAATATTCTGATGAAATTTACCAAGACAAAAAAAGACGTTACTACAGATGGTCTAGATATTAAAAATGAACAATTTAAACATAATACATTGAAAATTCAGAGGAAATGGAAAAATTCCCAGAAAAATAAATTTTATGAAAACTCACTTTTAAAGAAACGAAATCTGACTAGTACTTCAATCTTGATGGAATTTAATCCACACTTACAAACTTTCCCACAAAGAAAATGTTGGCCCTAATTGTTTCCACTAGTAAAATCTACCAAACATGTAAGAAGTAATATCAGACTTACAGAGACTCTACTTCCCAAATCATTTATGGGGGTCTTAAAATTTGGTACCAAGACATGACAAAGACATCTCAGGAGCAAACATTAAAATCAAAGAAGTCTTAATATTTATAATAGCCAAACACTGGAAATAATACAAATGTCTATCAACAGTAGGATGGTTAAATAAAGTATGGTATTTTATGAAATGGAACCCCATACAATACTGAAAATGAATAAATCACCACAATATCACTTAATGGCTGAATCTTAGCAAAAAACCAGGCACACAAATTAAGAAGGCATGCTATGCAATTCAATTTACACAAAGTACAAGGGAAAGCACTGAATTAGAGTGTTAGAAGTCAAGATAATGGTTCACCTTTTTTTAATCTGTTTTTTTTTAAGATTTTATTTATTTATTTAATAGAGATCACAAGTAGGCAGAGAGGCAGGCAGAGAGAGAGCCAGGGAAACAGGCTCCCCACTGAGCAGAAAGCCCGATGTGGGACTCGATCCCAGGAACCTGGGATCATGACCTGAGCTAAAGGCAGAGGCTTTAACCCACTGAGCCACCCAGGTGCCCCTAGTATGTTTTCTTTAAAGATTTTATCTATTTATTTGACAGAGAAAGACAGTGAGAAAGGAAACACAAGTGGGGGTGGGGGAGCTGGAGAGGGAGAAATAGAGGGCAGCTGGAGAGGGAGAAGTAAGCTCCCTCCAAGCAGGGAGCCCAACACGGGGCTCAATCCCAGGACACTGGGATCGTGACCTGAGATGAAGGCAGACGCTTGACAACTGAGACACCCAGACACCCCTAGATAATGGTTCACTTTAAGGGACAAGGAGAGATAGTGATTGGGAAGGGTGCTGACAATATTTTACTTTTTTTATCTCAAAAGAAGTACATGGTGTTCACTTTGTGATAATTTATTGAACTGTGCATTTATTATGTGCATTTATACATAAAAAGCTATAGGAGGTATAGTATTTTCAAAAAGCAAGTTGCAGAATATAATTTAGGGAGTGAACCCATTAGTGTAAAAAGTAATTGTGTGTATGTTTAGGCAAAGTTATATATGAAATCCCACAAACTTTTAGCCTAACCACAAACTGACAGCCTAACCCCTAAATTCAGGAAATTTCTAGTAGAAGCTTCTGCCTGTCAATGTTATCTTTTAGGAACTAATTCCTAGAGGCTTCTGTTGAGCTGTCAATTTTATCTTTTAGAAAGAAACTAACAGACTGCTAGAATAGAAAAAGAAACATTTGAGGGCCACACCTGTGCAGATGAACCAGAAAGTGCCAGAAGTGCCCTCAGCCTCATGGTGTTAAAATCCCCTTCTGAATATTCATCCCAAACCCTAATAAAAGAGTCTGCTTTCCCATCTTCAGGGAGACAGGACTTTGGAAATTATTCCCCACAATCTCCTTATTTGCATAAATAAATGACTTGTGATGCAACTTCATTTGGTATAGTCTGTCTATAACTCACTGAAGAGCAGCCCACTTTGGTCCAGTGACACAGGTAGTGTTTAGTTCTGAAAAGTAGAAAGTAATTGGAATGGAAGGTGGGTTGAAAGGAGAAATTCCATCATTTGCTCTCTCCATCTTATTATTTCAGGTTTTCTGTTGTGTTTTGATTTATTATTTTTTAAATAATGATAATTAGGAAGTTTGAGAAATGTTGGAAGTCTTGTTAGAAGTGAAGAACAGAAAAACAAGGAAAATGGGGAGGCATTCCCGCCAGGAATACTACAGCTTTGTTTTAATACTCTTTTGACAAGAAGAGGTGGTTGGGACACCAAAACAAATGAGGGCAGCTCACCTACCAGTAGACTAAGGAAGGTGTCCTTGGGTGAAGAGTCAACCTTCAAGGTACCAAGGTAGAAGGCAGGGCCCAAATAGTTCTTTGGGACACGCTTCCAGGTGGCAGAGCGGAGTCTGGAGGAAGAGCAGAGCCTTGAAGAAGAGAAAAGACCCTTCCCCACTCTAGTGCAAACACTGACCCTAGATTTCCCCACCCAGGTACTAGGAGATGTATTAGACTAGAAGCATTAAAATCAAGAGTCAGGAGACTTGTTCTAGGGTTCTAGTCCTGACCCCAAAGCACTCTATAATCCTGGGTAAATCAGTTGTCAGGATTTTAGCTCTTCATCTGCAAAGAGTTCGACATCTATAAGCCCCTTGATCCCTCCAAAGGTTTAGGCATAAGGAGGAACATACCTTTCAAAGAAGCTCATTGTCATTTCCAGAGAATAGATAGCAAAACCATTCAGGGGAACCTTATTGATAGTAACTGATTCAGTTAGTCCTGCAGGTGAGAGTAAGAAAAAATACAGGGATTGGACATTCTCCGGTGTCTGGGATAAAGAAATTCAGACTGTATATGCCTGTGACAAAGAATCAGCCAGGAGGGCAAAGACTTGCCTAACCTGCTATTACCGAAAATTTCCTGTTACATGGTTCCATATTATGAAGAAAGTTTCCCACTTAGTATCAGTACTTTCTCTGAAATTCCCAATGGCAGACTGGGTCCAGCTCTACAACAGGCCAGAGCCCTATCTAACCGTTCTGCTTTTCCACCCAGGAGAACTGGAGAAGGCAGGACAATGGAGAGGGAGCCTTTGGTCCAGGGACCTAGTCATCCCACTGCTCAAGGGACTCATTTTCTCCTCCCAACAGCAACATCGTCCCAATCTGAGAATCCAAGTAACTACAAAGAGAGCTTACAGCCTGTTTCCCACCTTTCCGCTGATCTTGAATTTTCCACGAAAAATTGACTCGTCCTCGATTTTCTACCAGGATCCTTAGAAGTTGACATTCCTAAAAAGAAAAAGAAAAAATAAGAAGGAAGTTGGCATTCCTGCTTGGGATAGACCATTTTACAGAGACTACATGTCCTCGCAGAGTTTTTACTCTCCAACGCATTCTTTTCTCTGAGTCTCAAATAAAAAGACAAGCAAATGGGAGAAAAGGGGTCTCCAGAGCACAGCAGTCCTTCTCTCTCATGAGGACCCTTTGTGTTCCTGTTCCAAACTCAATCTTCCCCTTCATCTGCTGATCTGCCTTAAGAAAGGCAGAGAGGCTCAGCTGTGTGCTTTTGATCAGAGACCCAAGCAGCAGCTAATGATTGACTCAGGACCTAACGGGAAGTTCCATTTACCCCATAGCATGTATGTTGCAACTCTGCTACACCTGGACCTGGGAGATGCAGTTATGCTTATAGCCCTAAGCACTTGTTGACGGAACCCTAAGTGAGAAGCAATATCAAAGGGCAGTGGCAGAGAAAGGCAGTATTCTATCTCAGGACCAGGCTACGCTTGCTTTTGAGTCAGATGTCTAGGGCAGCACCAAGACTCTTGAATCACATACCCTGATTTTAGGAATAATCAACGTCTTAGTATGATCATCCAGAAGTCCTATACTTATCTCATTCAAAAACACCTGCAAAAGAAGAGCCAGCATCAGACTTACTGGCCCACCTGAAGAAAGAAGAGAGGCTCTGGTTTAGGAAGCAGGTCATTTTGAAGGAAGAGACTAGCCTTGGTGATCACAGATGGCTACAAGCTGAACAGGAGGACTTCACAGGCTTAAGTTGTAACAAAGCCAAAAGCAAATCTCTTTGGCTTGACTTTATATTCCCAATGCCTCACAAATAATAGGTGCTTGAAAATACCATCTAATAGTAAAGCTGACCAGTGACTACCCACCCCAATAACAGAGTCCGTTTCTGCTTACCTCCATTTATAGTCTGTTGATACCTACCTGTGCTGTATCATGAACACTAGCATGGAGAGAACCTCCAGAGCAAATGGAAGTTTCATAAAGCACGAATCCATAGGACTGGCCATTCCCACTGTTTATAGGGAGGTTCTCCATGTTGACTGGTGTATGAGATATAACTGGCTAAGAGAGAGACATAGCAGAAACAGGGGCCAGGGTGGTGAGAAGTTGGGATTCTTCTTCCTTAGGCCCTTGTCATTTTTTGTTGTACATCCTAATGGTCCCCAACAGTTCTTTGGGTAAGAAATATTAAACCCATGCTATTTGATGATTTTCATCATCTCCACTGACCAGGAAACTCAGGGGATAGTAGGAGCATCATAGAGGGAACAATTGCTGTAATCATGAGAATTAATGGAGTGAATAAACTGTATTTTAACATAACTGAAGTTGAATAAGAATTATGCACTAAAGCAAACATTTAGTTAGCATCTACATTATGTGCCAATAACTGTATTTATCTAAAACAGCAATAGCAGAAGTGAGACTAATATGAATTCAAGAGTTAATATTTTTCAAGCAATTTTCACCTTTTCTTCAAAATAGGACAGGTAGTCTAATTTTAAAGGGAGAGAATGGACACGTAAAAGTTCAGTGATTTGGCCTATTGGATGGTGAAGAAGAGTCAGAAACTCAGTTTTACGGGTTCCTGGCTCTCAGTGTTTCCTATACGGATTATGCAGTCCCACCTAAGAACATCTAGCAGATGGTTGATCTGAGCTGGGAAACAGGATCCTCTAATATCCTGCTTTCCCCCACCCCAACTCATTCTTCAAGTTCAAACCCCTTTACAGTCTACCCAGAGAAAAATTTTGTGGTTCTTACCCCATAGTTCTAAGTTTGGACAAAATCTAAAAGATTTATTTTCACCCTTCCCATAAAAAGTCCTTGAAAGAATCTCTACTCTGTGGCCTAAAGCTCTCTCCCACAGGTCCCCAGTAGCCAATCCCCCATTCAGGGCCAGGTAGTACTCACCTCATGTAAGTACTGTAGAACATCCCACAGTGGCAAGTAAAGGGATGGTTTCACAGAAGGATACTCAGCCTTGGAAGTGAGCTTGGGCAAAGGTGGCAGAGGCATTGCTGAAATGAAAATAAGCCATGGGGCAAGAAGGGCCTGAAATAACTACTGCTTTCTCCAAATTTCCCCATTCCTACCCATGAACTCTCATATCCCAGGGCCAACAGGAGAAATGGGTCCTATCCTAGCATATGTGTATAATTCTCCAAGAGTGATGAGAAACTGGAAATAACTAAATTGGAATGAGTTTTATGTGCATGGTAACTGATAGTTATAGACCTCTATAAGGTAATGTCGGTCATAGGGACTGAAGGCTCTCAGGGAGCAAGAAATCTACCTTGCGCCTTCTGGCAATGCCAGTGCTCACTTTCTAGCACATAGCAGATTATTAACTGTATTTATTTTTGCTATCGTATGTAAGGGTACCATGCCATCATACCAAGAGATCTACAAATAGTAAATTATTTAATCTTCACAGTCATTATAGGAGATGGATATCACTGTCTTCATATTTTAGTGAGGAAACAGGCTTCAGGGTCTTGAAACACTCATGAAAAGCCCCTCATCTTTTAAGTGGGAAAAACGGGATTTGAACTTAAGGTTGCCGTTGCCCTTAAGGCTCCAAACTTTTGCCCATGGGGGAACCTTCCCTTCCCTCTCCCTTCCACTTCATGAGGAAAGCCATCCCTCAAATTAAAAGTGATTGCGGAGTACCTAAGACAGAGCTAAGGAGTCCTTGAAGCTTGAAATATTTTTCTGTGTAATCCCCGGCCTCTGTCAGGACAGCATCATAGTCTGCAAGACACCAGAGTCACTGGCCAGGCAATCTTCCACAACAGACCCTGTTTCAGCACTGCTGGCATGAGATGGGCCAGGGCTACCAGAGGGAGAGAGAAGATACATCTTCCCCATGCCCTGGACCAGTCCATCCCAGGCTGGGATGTGTGTGTGTGGGCAGGGGTGAGGGTGTGTTATGTCACTCTGGGAATACTCCCCACAATCCTTCCTGGGGATCTGAGGCTGCAGAGACATTGGACTCATTCTTCTGTTTTATAATGGATACCCTTTTCTTCCCTCAATCTGGATTGCCCAGGTGTGTCTATCAGTACCAGCAATCACCATTTGTATTCTGTGTGTCTTAGAAGGTTCAAGTCAAGGGGTGATATATATCATGAGTGAAGCAGGGTTCTAGGTCTGAGGCCCCCATCTACTGCAATGACAACCTGCAGGGGGCATTATGAACATCACAGAAGAAAGGAAAATAGACAGGAATATCCTGAATGCTCAACATAGATTGTAAGTCAAGAATTCAATGATGTTCAGAAGATGCTTTTCGAACCTTCTCTGTAAAACTCCAGTACCACTTATGCTGAGAGGTGACCATACCAGCAAGCACTTGCCATAGCTAGTGACAACAGCTTTGTGTATCCCAAAATATGTGGCCCCATTCATGAAACCAAAGTTGGTTCCACCATGGAACATATATACATTGAAGGAGATCTCAGATGTGATAAATTTGGACACAGTTTCCTTAACATCTGTAGAGGAGGAAGACAAGAACACAGGGAAAATTAAAAATTAAGACAGAAGTCTTTGGTGAAATCTTATTCTCATCCCCACCCCAGAATCAACTTAATTGTTTTGTGTTTCAATCTCCACTAAGATTCTAAGGAGAAAATAGGTGGAATTGGCCAAAACTATTCCAGGAAACCAAGTCTTATCAATACCAAGAGCCTTTTTAAAAATTGTTTTCCTCAGAGTATAGACATAATTTAGCTCCATCTTATATCTATTAAATAATAGCCTAAGAAACTTAATGTCACTTAAATATCTAATGTTCATTAAATTTTCTGAAATTATACAAATAATTAGTATAATCTCATTACTCCCTTCTAGAGTAATATAAAACCACTGCAGTAGTCCACAAGTAGCTGTTCCCAATCTTTAGCCACAGAAACTCTTATTTTTTCATCATGACTTTAAGAGGTATGATCAACCTTCCACTGGCCATTATAGGGAATTGGTTAAAAGTTAGTCAGATACGGGATTCAATTCTGGCTGTGCTCTTTACTACTTGTATTAACTTGGACAACTTCTATTTCTCTCAGAGCCTCTGTTTCTTTATCTGTTAAATGAAAGTCCTAATTTCTACTATCTCATAGTACTGATGAAAGAATACAGGTAAGAAACACACCATAGTGCCTGACATGAAAGCAATAAAAAAACTTGTTTGTTGGGGTGGGTTTTCTTTTGTTTCAGGCCAAACAGGCTTTCCTCAGTTAACTGGCATTTTTCATTGGTTTACGTTACTTCTGGTACAAGTGAGCTTATTTTCATAACATCGACAGCAAAATATCTTTAGCAGCAAAATATTTTTACTAAGTCAACATCAGCCAGGCACTGTTCCGAGTTGTTTACTGCACTTAACCCCCACAACAACCCTATGAGGTAGGGAACATGATAATTCCCATTTTCAGTGAGAACACTGAGGTTTAGCAGACAAGGAAAGCTGCCTTGGATCATGCAGCTAGTCATGCAGACTAGCAGAGCTGAGGCTGAAATCTTGATCTCTTCGGCTGCAGGACCCATGCTTTCAACCATCATTGCATGTTATTTCCTGACAATGACTACCACTTAGCTGACATCGCCATAGCAATGGCCTGCGGTTTACCAGAGATTATTAAGACTTTTAGCAAATGCATCCCCTTCTTCAGAGATGTTGCCTTTCCAAGACCCTTTCCATGACCACCTTGCCTTACCTCTGCAGGCTTGTCCCTCTCTTTTCTGTCACTGCACCTGTTTGCTTCAAAGCTCTTGTCAGATGTGGAACCCTTGATTTACTTCTTAATTATCTGGCAACGCTACTAAATAACAAGCTCCCTGGGGGAAGGGACCAGGTCATTTTTATTCATCAGTTCACCCTCAAGCGTAGCCAAGTCCTTGTACACAAAAGTGTTGAATGAATAGTTTGGGCTGAATGAGCTAATTCATTAGCAAAGAAATGTATGAATGATCCATGACTCAGAACCACCTCTACTTGGGGTCAAACACTGCAAAACACTTACCCTCAGCATTAGCAACTGAATGTTCACTTCCCCATGTGTCAAACCAGCCAACCCAGAATTCCATGATCATAATGGGCTTATTGCTCTAGAAACAAACCAAATCAAATACCAAGTCTGAGAAAATGTAAAAAGAAAATCAGAAAAGCTAAGCACAACAGACGAAAATTTAAGGGACTCATGCTTTTCACTTTTTCAAAGTTCAACACTTCATTCTCCCTCCTTTCCCATCACCCCTTTACCATCACCCATAGCTTTGGTTTCTCCACCTCTCCTAAACATTCTCCATACTCCTTAAACTTTGTATGCCTCACTGCTGTACCTGGATAGCACCATCTATGATTCCAACCTTGTCATATGTGAGGCTGGTTTTAAAAAAAATTGGCTTTGGATAAACAAGGACCTGACTGCAATTCACAAATATTGAGGCTCACATATACCAAAGGCCCACAGCTAATATTATCCTCAATGGGGAAAAACTGAGAGATTTTCCTCCATGGTCAGGAATAAGACAGGGATATTCACTCTCATCATACTATTTAATATAGTACTAGAAGACTTAGCCTCAGCAATCAGACAACAAAAAGAAATAAAAGGCATCCAAATCAACAAGTAAGAAGTCAAACTTTCACTATTTTCAGATGACACGATACTCTATGGAGGAAATCCAAAAGACTCCACCAAAAATTTGTTAGAATACATGAATTCAGCAAAGTCACAGGGTATAAAATCAACATACAGAAATCTGTGGCATTTTTACTTGCCAATCATGAAACAGCAGAAATAAATATTAAAGAATCAATCCCATTTATAATTGCACCAAAAACAGTAAGATACCTAGGAATAAACCTAACCAAAGAGGTAACAGTCTGTACTCTGAAAACTACAGAACACATACGAAAGAAATTGAAAAGGACACAAAGAAATGGAAAAACATTCCGTGCTTGTGGAATGGAAGAACAAACATTGTTAAAATATCTATACTACCTGGGGAGGGTATGTGCTATGGTGAGTGCTGGGAAGTATATAAGCCTGATGATTCACAGACCTGTACCCCTCAGGCTAATAATACATTATATGTTAATAAAAAATTAAAAATTAAAAAATAAACACAATTTTTAAAAAATCTGTACTACCCAAAACAATCTATAAATTCAATGAAATCCCTATCAAAATACGACCAGCATTTTTCACAAAGCTACAACAAACAATCCTAAGATTTGTATGGAACTACAAATGACCCTGAAGAGCCAAAGCAGTCCTGAAAAAGTAAAGCAGGAGACATCACCATTCCAGACTTCAAAGCTATATTACAATGCTGTAGTCATCAGGGCAGTATGGTGCTGGCACAAAAACAGACACATAGATCAATGGAACAGAAGAGAAAACCCAGAAATGGAACCCACAACTGTACAGTCAACTAATCTTTGACAAAGCTGGAAAGAAGATCCAATGGAAAAAAGACAGTCTTTTCAATAGATGGTGATGGGAAAACTGGACAGTGACATGCAGAAGAATAAAAGTGGACCACTGTCTTACACCATATACAAAAATAAATTCAAAATATATGAACGACCTAAATGTGAGACAGGAAACCATCAAAATCCTAGAGAATACAGGTAGCAACCTCTTTGACCTTGGCTATAGCAACTTCTTACTAGACATGTTGCCAGAGGCAAGGGAAACAAAAGCAAAAATGAACTATTGGGACTTTATCAAGATAAAAAGCTTCTGCATAGAAAAGGAAACAACCAACAAAACTAAAAGGCAGCCTACAGGTTGGGAGAAGATATTTTCAAATATCTGATAAAGGGTTAGTATATAAAATCTATAAAGAATGTATCAAACTCAACACCCCCAAAAAACAAATAATCCAATTAAGAAATGGGCAGAAGACATGAATAGGCATTTTTCCAAAGAAGACACCAGATAGCCAATAGACACATGAAAAAATGCTCCACATCACTTGTTATCAGGGAAATACAAATCAAAACCACAATGAGATACCACCCCACACCTGTTAGAATAGCTGAAATTAACAAGTCAGGAGACAACCTATGTTAGCAAGGATGCAAAGAAAGGGGAACCCTCTTATACTGTTAGTGGAATGCAAGCTGTTAGAGCTACTCTGGAAAACAGTATGGAGGTTCTTCAAAAAGTTAAAAACAGAATTACCCTATAATCCAGCAATTGCATTACCAGATATTTACCCAAAAGATTAAAAAAATCCAGATTCAAAGGGGTACATACACCCTGCTATTTCTAGCAGAATGGTCAACAATAGCCAAATTATGGAAAGAGCCCAAATGACCAACGACTGATGGATAAGAAGGTGTGGTATATATATAAATATACAATGGAATACTACCCAGCCACAGAAAAGAATGGCACCTTGTCATTTGCAACAATTGTGGATTGAGCTAAAGTGTATTATGCTAAGCAAAATAAGTCAGTCAGAGAAAGACAAATAACATATGATTTCATTCATATATGGAATTTAAGAAACAAAACAGATGAATATATGGGAGGGGGAAAAAGAGAGAGAGAGGGAAGCAGATCATAAGAGACTCAATATTAGAGAACAAACTAAGGGCTGATGGAGGGAATGTGGGTGGGGGATGGGCAAAATAGGTGATGGGTATTAAGAAGGGCACTTGTTATGATGAGCACTGGGTATTATATGTAAGTGATGAATCATTTAATTCTACCCCTGAAACCAATATTACATTATACATTAACTAGAATTTAAATAAAAATTTGAAAAAAGAAAAAAAAACTGAGGCTCAAAAGTCACATTGCTGGTAAGTGCAGAGCTACAACTCAAATCTAAGTCTAAGCTGAACTATCAGCTACTAAGTTATACTATCTATCAGGTATTTCATTCATTTTCTCCATATTTAAATTATATTCTCCATAATTAAATTTTATTCTACCTCATCTGTATTGATCCACTGTAATTATTTTTTATTTATTTTTTATTTCTAAAAATTCTTATTTTGTATATATTTGCTAATAAATACTTTGATATATAACAATTCATAAATGTTATTATGTCTTTATGGACTATACTTTTTATTTATATAAAGCAATTATTATCATATTAAAATAACTAATGATCAAACTTTTACTATGTACCGAGTACTGCTTAAAGTACTTCACTTACTTTGTTCTGTGTGACAAACTATAAAGTAGATATTATGAGTCTTTATTTTGCAAATGAAAAAAATAAGGTTAGATAACCCATCCAAGTTCACTCAGCTAGGAAGTACTAGAACTGGGATTTGAATTCAGCCAGACTAGCTTGACTCCACACTCCTAACCAATACACCCTATTGCATCTGGAATGTAAACGACTTATTACCTAAAAGTAGAGGAGAACATATCAAAGCAATTCCATTTCTCAAAACTTCTAAACTAACTCTTGCCTTAAAACATAGGCATCTCTTTTAAAATTCATGTTACTGATAACCTAAACTGTCAGACACCATAGGCTTTCAGTCTGATACCTGCATTCCACGTCTAGCCCAACATTTTCAATGCTCCAGAATAATGCACGTTCTTTTTTAAAAAGTTGACATCTTCTGCACAGCAGGAGAGGCTGTTAATATCCCATGGACATTACAATGGAAAATTATGGTGGGCTTCTCTTGGGGAATATGTCAGGCATTCATATTGTGCATTCTCAGTTTTACTCCTGGAGTCCTCCAGCATCCTCCCATGATCAAAAAATAATCATACTGAAAATTGGGAAAAAAAAAAAAAAAAAAAAAAAGGTCATACTGTAAGCCTGAAGACCTGTCCTCCAAGGCCTTTTCTCAGCTGATCCCTGGAGTTGAATACGATGTTTTCTGGATTCTATGTGTTCTTCTATCTTGGCTTAATCCCTTAGTTCTGCATCCTCCAAACATTTACATAAAAAGGCTGTATAGAAAATAAGTAATCTGAGCCCTTAAATATCTGTATTCTGCAATACAGTTTCTTCATATTTAGACTGAGTATAAAATTCTAAGTTGAAACTCACTTATCCTCAGAATTTTAAAAGTATACTTCATTGCTTTGCATTATCCAATGTCAATACTTAAAAATCCTGATTCTCATTGTTTGGTACATAGTAAGCCTATGGTTTTTCTTTCTGAATAATGTTAATTTTACAATATGGGTCTTTTTTTAATCATTTATTGTGTTGACCATTGAGGAGTATTTTCAATTTAGAGATACATATCCTTCAGTTAAAGGAAGTTTTCTTACATTAGTTATTTGTCATTTCCTTTTCTCTGTGTTCTTTGTCCTCTTTTGATAACTACTATTAGTAAGGTGTTGGGCCTTCTAAATTGATCTTATGAGACATTTATGTTCTCTCATATTTTATATCCTACTGACTTGTACTATTTCTAGGAAATTTCCTCAACTTTACCTCCAACTCATATTTAACTTTTAATATTAGATTTTAATGTCAAAGATTCTTTTTGGTCCTCTGGTCCTTTTCCTTAATATCTTATTCTTCTCTCACACATAAATAATCTTGTTCATATCTTTATGCATATTAATAAGCATTTTTGATGTTATATTGTATTTCCTGAATTAAGTGTATACTCCCTGGCTTCCATTTTCTTCTTTTTTGGTAGTTATTATTTTTCACTGGAAACTTTTATTAAATAAATACCATTTGCATTAAAGAGGGGAAACTGATTTCTGGTATTAAAAAGTTACTGTGCTATTGGTGCACTCGACATACTCCTCTTGGAAATCCTCAAAATCATAATGAAAAATGAGAAATAGAAACACAAACAACATCTTCTATGAATCCAATGGACATCTGAAACTTCAAAGCATAAATTAAAAAAAAAAAAAAAAAGACTGCCAAAGCCCTGAAGTTCTAGCAGGTGTTGAACAAACGTAGAAAGAAAGTGCATTTTGTTGAAGATTTTAGTACCAGCACAGAGTACCAGCACAAATTTCTTCCAAGTAGAAAGCATACCCTATAGAATTTGACAATTTTGTATTTGTAATTACAGAATGGGGTTCACAAGCTGGTAAAAGGAGTACATTTTGCATAATACAATGTATCAGAAGCTTTAAAGAAAATAA